AAAAAAAACTGAGGCGAGATCGAGGCAACCGTCACTGAAGAGCGACTTGCTTGCTCGAATCACCAGCCAACTGCCACCAAGATGAGCAATGTCGCCACCCATCAAAACATACAGCCAACTAAAAGGCCATCCCCAACCCTGCCTTTTGCAATCTACACGGTCAAAAACGCGAGTTTTCGACTTCTTAGAAATATAAAACACAATTTGGACAGATCGTCCACAAATAATTAAACCTTCAGAAACGAAACTACCGAGCACTGTGACATACCTGGAGTGATTGCTGTTGATGTCTTTAGCAAGACCATCTGCACAAGCCCTAGTTCCAGCGGAAGAATGTTCACTAGCCATGTAACATGTAAAAAGTACCTGAGGAAGGGGAAATCTAAAGCAGATAGACCAAATGCAGAAAATGCAGGAATACCTTGTTGCATAGCTCGGCAGGATCTTCTCCAACATGCTCACCATTCAAATAGTACGCAGGATCGTCACCACCTTTAAAGTCTGTTTTGAAAAATAGTCAACACAATCATTAATTTACGAACTACACTGGACTCTGTCTCTTATCTAATGATTATCTGGATACTTGAGAGACTCGGATATGGCACAAAGTCCATTCAATGCTAGTAAGATGAGTGTTTTGCAAAATTTGCAACACATGTTTGTTTGTTGTTTGCTAATTTTTTGCAAAATTTCGAGGAAAAAGATACCATCCGTCGCCTTCCTGCGCTTGACTGCGTCACAGACTTTGTTGCACATGAGACGTACCATTGCAGCAACCGATGAACTATCTTGACCACCAGATAGCGGTACGAAGTAACCACTCTATAAAGCCGCTCATAGTGTGACATATACAAATGTAGATAGTAAAAATTCTCACCATCCTACTCCTCCTAAGATAATGCCACAACCAAGCTGGCGGACCGTGACACAGCTCCTCTGTAGGACTCAACTGTAGCTTCTCAAAGTTGTCAATCTGTTTGGTCAACGGTAGAGTTGGATCAGACAGAGTTAGACTGCTGTCGAAGGTAATTGTAGAGTACTCAGGAAGAAGGGCAGCCTAGAAAGTCGCTGTTGACTATAGAATATGGGACTCAATATGGTGTACCTCATGATTGCTACTGCTTTTCTTATGACGAAAAGTTGATGTTTCGTTAAGATTTAGTACCGCCGTAGCCACGCACTTGAAAATATCATATTTGAGTCATCATACTTTACTAAGGCACTTACTGTGTCTTCGATATCAAACTGATTTATCTGAGCATATAATTTCCCATTCTGCGCTATTGTGGATGCACCATCATAGTAGACGCGATCGCCATCGCAACCTCTATGATTACTGTACAGATAGATGCCACCATTCTACAAGAAGAAAACGAGTAATCCGATAGCGAGATGAAGGCAAAGAGATACCTTTTGGCTGCCACCTAGAATCAGCTGATTGACGCGATAGTTGGACTTGCCCAGTACATGATGACTGCCACTTCCATTACAGACGATATCCACTCCACGCAAAGCAAA